CATGCTTAGAGTCAAAAGACGAAGCGCATGAGCTACAAGCGCAAAACGTCTCGCTCTGCAAAGACCTTGCACAAAGCTTTGTGTCGACCTATGCAGTGTTGGAGAGGATACAATATCGAAATCAAAACCAGTTTCTATTGATTATCGACGAAGCTACGAGATACAAGTGGGGATATCTCTAGTCCTACAAAGACGAAGACACGGAGCTGATTCAGAAGCAGATTCGCTGGATCCAGAACCAGTTCCCGAAAGGCGACCCATCAAGACGCTGTTCTCCGATGGTGGTGGCGAGTTCGTCAACATGCAGCTCGAGACCTTCTGCAAGGACCTCGGCATCGACACGCGTTCATCCAATCCCTACAGCCCGCAGGAGAACGCTATCGTGGAGCGCACGAACCAGACCGTCATGCGGCAGGTCAGATCTATGTTACAAGCTACGCAAATGCCTGTTTCATTATGGGGAGAAGCCTTCCTACATGCAAATTGAGACGCTCAACAAGACGCCGACGCCGGTGTTGAAGGACCAGCAGTCCCCGTACGAGGCCCTGTACGGAGAGCGGCCAGACCTCAGCGTGCTGCGCACGTGGGGGTGCTTGGTGCACGCGCACATCCCTGATGATTCTCGGCAGAGAAAGGAGAAGCTCACTCCAAGGACGCAGATGTGCTTACTACTTGGCTACAGCGAGAAGACCAAGGGCTATAAGCTGCTGAACCTGCGCACAGGATCAGTGACGACGTGCAGAGATGGAAACATGAAGGCACATGAGAAGTACACGGTAAACACTGTGTATATTGAGCAACTTCTTGCAAACACCTACGCTTACGGAGACTACGACTTACCTGCGGAGATCCCGATCGTGCCGATCCGGACGACAATGTCTACGTACCTGCAGCTTCCTGCAGAGCTTGCAGAAAGGCGAGCAGCGGAGATGGCGAAGCTGGCCACTGCTGGTGAGAGCCATGACCAAGGTGTTGAAGTTGAAGCCGAGTCTGCGACTCGAAGTGATGACCCACAGCTACCAAGCGAGGACGCTAAGAAGCCAGCAGCTTCAGTGGGAGGTCCAAGCGGAAGAAC